GCACCTGCACTACGGGCACCATGGGCACTCACAGACAAGTAGTGCTTAAACTTAAGAGGATCTGCTTGCAAACTCTTCGCAGATGTAGCGTCAGGCGACCATTGGTCAGCTTTTAGCCATGTTGGAAAAAAAGCAAAATACCAAATCCCTGAGGGTTCGAACCCGCGACCCTATACGTGAGAAGCAAGACCGCTACCAACTGCGCTACCGAAGCTCACTCCACCCCTCGGTTCTCCTTTCGATACTTTTATAATGCAGTTAACATGTGATTGCAGGCAAGACACTGAAAATCAAGGGCGGCAACAAAAACCCTCCGTAACTCCTTTCAGAGAAGAGTTCAGCAGATAATGAAAGCAGATTTGAGTTCAGCGTCTCATGTTGCGTACAGAAATGTGCACCTCATTTCATTTGGCCGGGTTGGCTTAATGACCCTTCCTGGTGAGTGGAAGTTCACCGCAGACATTCGTTCAAACGAGCGCGCGCGGGAAATTTTTTCAAAGAGCTATCTCGGCGAATACCTCCGATCGTCGAAAACAAAGAAGCAAATCAACGAGCATCCCGGGCAATCACGTGCCGGTCATTTTCAAAAATGGCGCGTCGCCTCTATTGCGTGCAGTGCAGGCCGCAGGCAATCGCACACGTTACGGCTATCTGCAATTGCATACCAAGGGCAAAACTGCGCCGCGGCCGCGCGCTCACGACGGAATCTTCCACCGCCCCTTTCGCTCAGTAGCACTCGTCGGTCAGAAAGCATTTCACTTGTGGTACCTGGCATGAAGAGAGACCATCGTTCAATGATGACTGCTGAGAAACCTCACCTATTCGAGTGGAAATCGGTACCAAAATGATCAGCATCATACAAAGAAAGCAAAGACCTATTTTTCTTTCCATTTTAAATTGAAGTTGCAATTTTATATTTCATTCTATACGTCGAACTACAAATGCCTTGTCATAATTATAGCGAGCGTTGCTCGCTGAACAACATCCGCAGGGGCTTTGATGGTTAAGTGGAGTTGAAAAACACGATTTTTCAGAATTTCAAAGTTCAGCTTTGCAGAGCTCGACAAACCGAGTTGAACTATCTATTAGGTACCGGATATCTTAGTGTCGCTTTTCTGAGTTCAGGAAGTTTTGGGGCCGATTACTATGGAAAATCAATATCTCAGAAAGTCCTTTTTGCTCATTAATACTGCGAAATATGTTGCTTATTGTTTTCTATTGTTGGTTCACAATTTAACTTTCCCCAATTTTTTTTGAAAATTCCTGGGTCCAGTGTGCAAATTCGCATGTGTGTACCAAATGCTTCAAAATTCTTGCTGAGAGCTACAACTTCCGCCCACCAAACCAACATTGCATTTGTTGGAGGGAATACTACCATTTAAAATGCTCATCGGTTTTTCACAGTTTTCTCAAAAAGTGATGCCCGCAATCGTCGTCAAAAAGGTGGCCCTAGTTAAATCAGTCGAGACGGGGCTGCACCAGTCTTGTGCTGAAATGGTAGGACACCTTAGCAGTGACTGATCGATGATGCACAAACGCTTTAACGAAGTTGATTGCACAAGAAATTCTAATAAATGTGCTCATCTGCTACTCACGTGTGCTCAAAAAGGGTGCGTTTTTGACCCTATGTGGCAAAAAAGACTCCGGGAAAAATTGTCCAGTTGAGCTGGTAAGTAACTTTTCCACCATACAGTGCAGACCCTACTCTAACTAACTGTATACTTCTTTTGTCCAGGCCTAACTTTTTAGCAAGTGAGAGGGATGATTTGTCAGATGATGTCAAAACCGACCTACCTCTCTTTTTCGACTCAAAAAATTCCTAGCTTTAATCGTACGAGGTTTCCACTCATACTGGTAAATGGGAAAGTGCTAATGAGTCATTCGATGAATATGCTGTTTCACTCCCCGGATTCTTGAATTAAAATATTGGTGGTCCGAAACTCGCGGTGAAAAAACGACACTAAGATATCCGGTACCTAATATTAGGTTGGTCAGATTGAAATGTCGCTCCTATTTGCATCGTAGTTTCTGAGCTAGCACAACCTCTCACAAGGCGGGTGCACTCATTCGAGAGACTGTGTCCAACTGCACTTTACGATGTTGTATCTGCCTGTGAATGTTTGAATTCAAGCCACAATTTTTGTTTGAAGACGTTTGGTCAGAAACATCGTGTGGACATGTGCATGTGACATAACCCAAAACAATGGAAATTGGGTAAGGAGTTCTATCGTGTTCTGTGCGAAATACTCGACAGTGAGGCGCACTATCCTGCGGCAGTGCCTGCGATGACCGCTGCGTTTTCTAAAAGGAGGCAGAAAGCACAAAGGCGAAATTCATCAGAATTTTCTTGCAATTCTGGCTAATGAAGAACTTAGAAATGGCACTTAACAAAAGTATTCACGATGTGAAATCCTAAGGGGTTTGGCTACACTGCAGCTACAAACGATAGTCATTTACGAGTGATTGGTAGAGTAAATCGGTGCAAAAACCAAATTTTGCAGCTGCAAAACGACACTTGCCAAGCGGAGTGTGTTGCGAAAATAGCGCAGCAGAAAATCGAGTTAAGCTGGGACGTTCTGCCTTCCGCGCCATTTAGCCCAGATCTGGCACCGTCCATTCACCATTTATTCAGGTCAGCGTAGCTTTCCTTAGTAGGGAAGGAGACTGAGTAACCGCGATGACGTCAATTATTCGGGTTCCCAACTTTTTCGAGTCGCAGCCGGACATCCACATTTCGAGTGGTAAATGTAGAAAAGTCATAAATATAGATGGGGAATATATTTAAGACTCAAGAGCTTTGCTTTTGTTTTTATAATAAAAACAAATGTTAGTCAAAAACGACATTTCAAACTGGCCAACCTAATAACGGTTGGGCGAAAGAAACTATTTGTTTTATAGAGAAAAACAAAGAAAAACGCTAATTGGCGTTTCTATCGTGATTTTATGAACAATCAGGGTGGGTATTGTAGACTAAAATCTAGCGATGGAAATCAATCCTCGGCGGCGATGAAGTCGAGCAGCTCGCTTCGACACCAGCCTTGGGAGAGTTTAGCCTTGTGGGCGAGAGCACTTCTTAGGGCCATGGCTTTTCCGAGTGGGAGATGGACCAAGGCTTCAATACATCACCCAGTATGCTCCTCAGGTACACCTCCTTGTTGATCACGCAGAAGTCAACGGAACGAATGGCGTCTTTCCATTGGTGTGATTTCTCATCAGAACATTACTGAAGCCTAGTCTGTCGTTCTTCCAACAATATCTTTTCGTACAATTACACTTTGACGCTATTGGTCAGAATCGTTTTGGCGATTCAGTACTAGGTCCATCGCCAATGTTTTTTGTCAGACAAAAAAAAGATCGAGAAGTGCATGTCACCACCTACTCACGCTCGGGTTTTTCCACTTTCTGCCGCTTTTATTTTCCAAAATGAAGTGACCCTTCTGCATATAATAGGTCCAATAAGGCAGTTTTCCCTTGACAATGCGCCCCCATCGATGGTATCGGAATATGTAGCTGCTTTGCCATCGTTCTAGTGGATGTTGTCGATTGCAAGTAACTCGATTACGAACCACACTGATTATTCTATCTGTGGGCACACCGAACTTTCTTTCTCAGCCAGGCCTGTTCATAAGTGGATCCAGAGCACAAATATAAATAACTTAGTATAATCTACTGATTTTTCCGATAAGTTTCTGAATTTCAGGTCAAGTAACTCGGGGGCACCCTGTACAAGTCACTGTTCTTATCCATCCAGAACTGCCTGGTTTTCTGGTATCACATGAAGTACCCAAAAGAGGTCAAAGGCGTGGGTGGCTTGGCGAGATTCAATCCGTGATTCGACCCCTATTCACCGCCTCTGCCTTTCGCAATGGAAGGAAGAAATATGTTGGAAGGGTTTCATTGTTTGTAGTCACATAAGGAGATTTCCTGAGAGATCAATATTTGGTAATTAGTTTCCCAAACACTTGGGACGGTAGTAAACTACCCTTAATTCGCAATTAAAGGTGGTGATCGAAGGCCCTTGCATAGAATAAAGAATAAGACAATCGCGAATCGATCTTAAATCAAACGCGAGCTTCCTACTCTATTTTATGATCACAGAACAACGAAACATGAGGAAACGAACGAATATTTCAGAAAAAAGGTCACAAAAGCATCTGTGGATTATGCGATTGCAGCTGCATTTTTAATTCCTACTTAGTGGAGCTGGTCAGAGAAAAAAACCGTGGGAATGGGGAGACGCAGATGCCACGTTTGCCACGTTAACCCTCCAGTAAAAAGTCCTTCGGAGTACTTTTTACTCGAGGGTCAACGTGGCGTCTGCGTCTCCTCAACCACGTGCTCTTTTTTTCTCTGCTTAATTCCGAATTAGCTTTACAGGTTATCTCTCTAATTCGTAATTAAAGTCGATTTTTCGATAATGATCTAGCTATGAGCTAATCAACAGATTAACACGTTGACGACCGCGCTATTTTTCGCTGTCTGGCGTGTGGGACCGCGCGCATTATTTTGACCGCGCGAGTGTGACATGACATCATGTCACACGGTCCCACGAGAACTCCTTTTTCTCAGGAAGTGTGTATTTGTTATCTTTCTTGTGTGGTAGGTCTCCGATTATGCGATTTTGGCCATTTTAGCGATTCCTGTGATTTGATCATTATTCAAACATTTTTAGAAAAACTCGATAGCCCATCAACCGAAGCTTCTTTCCAGGGACCACGCCTTTTGTAACAATGCCTAAGTATGGCGCATACATCACGTAAATAAGTTACCTAAAATGTTTGAAAACCAGCTTAAAAAAGACTGTGACATGACATCATGTCACACGGTCCCACGTGGCCGAAAGGGACATCATACCACACTGTCGTCAACGTGTTAATGTGTTGGGAGGCGCTTTGAACCTGTTACCTAATCATGACTTTTGTTTGAGGTAATCTCAACACGTTAATTTTGAATTGAGGAAGGCTCAATCGGTCCCTGATGTTTGTAAACTTTTAAACCACTCACTGGAGCATATTGCCTGCATATAACGGATTTGTTGGTTTTCGATTAGGACAGTCCCTAACTGCCATTCGTGCCAGTCTCTCTAAGCCACAACTCCATTTCTAAAAGCAATATTTGCAAAAGGCGAGAATAAGTACAACAAGCGAGACGCATGAGTTCTGTTGCCCAAATAATAATACATTTATTTAGGTGACCTTTTTCACATTCAGTAGACACCCACCAATGAATACATATTCTCTGCCGTGGGATATACGGTACCGTCGGGACCTCTATTATCTCCAACAGTGATACTAGCTCGATCGAGATTGTGTAATAAAATCGCATCAGACCGCAGTTCTTCCGTAAGTTCACTACCTGCACATAAGGCGCACGAGCTCAGGCGGAGTTGCAGCAACTGAAAGAAATATAGATTAATTTGAAGCAGTGGACAAGATTATATAACTTTGATGCGCACGGAGGTGTTGCAACCATTTAGACCTGGCGGATTAGGAAGCTCGATTTGAGGTTATTTATCTAGTGATTGCGCCACAAGCACTTCTGAGAGATGAGCGGCGTCATCAGTCATCACACCACTGCTCGCCAGTGTTGCAACTTTTTCGGTCCCCCCTGCGTCGTCAATTTTGTTGAAACATGTTTTTCGAGTCTTTATAAATAATTTTTGTCAATTTTACATTTCTTTTAGGCCGTGCTTCATCAATTCTTTGCGTTTCCGTATAACGTTGGAAGTGTGACGCGCTTTTTATGTCATTGCGCTTCGCGAATTCATTGGGAACCACTCGTTAACCGAAACAATCCTTTTATATCGGCCGTGAACGAGGAGAGAACCCATTTTCTAAACGAATGGCACGTCATTGAACCACACGCAATACCTACCACAGTTCTCAGTCATCGCACGATTGCCGCCATTGGGGAATACCTCACTACAAATTATATTACTGGGATTCCCTTCCATCCTTCTATTTTATAAACCGCTAACTTGGTGTGTCGGTTTGTATGTATGTATGTATGTGTGTCCGTCCGCAAAATGAAGTGAGTGAGAAGGAAGCTCATGGGATAAACAAACCGCTAACAAATCGGGTAGCTTACAGGATTTGAGATATCAATGTTTTGTAGCAGGATAGTTGTGATAACACTCTTAGGGCTATATAAACACCTGCTTAGCACACTTCCGGTTCATTCCACATGGTGCTGCAGTGGCAGCTGGAGGGCAGTGGAAGGAGGACTGGAGGGGGAGTGGAAAATCATGGGCGATGCTTCCACTACATGAAACTCTTTTTTGTTTTATACGCGTCACCTCTGCAACGTGTTTTGTCACGAATAGAAGGGCCCTTAGCGGAAGACGTAAAGTTAACAGGGAAGAAAGTCCCGGCGGTTGACGGGGACCAATCTGGTAAGTAATATAGAGCAATCCAGGCTTCACTGTCCACACCGTTTCATAATAACAGTGAACAGTGGAACCTCGAAAGAAGCACCCCCACCAATTGATTGCCCTGATCCACTTTTATCACCGCGACAAGTGTTCGTTCGATAAAGTAGAAATTACCTAATTCTAACGGCGCTTATGATGGTCAATAAAACGTGTCTGAGTGAGTCTATGTATGATATTTCGAAACGTTGGTGCAGAATGTTAATTGATTTTATGACGTTCTAGTATTAGGCGGAACATTCACGCAATCGTATAGGCCAGACCACAAGCTCTGTGTCGCGACTCTCGTCACGACCTTTTCAACGTGCAAGGTATGCGCCGATACTTTCCCGTGCTCCAGTCACGTTCTCACGCTATGGAGGACGAAATACTACGCCTTCCCACGGACGCAGACACTTTCCCATGGTTCGAACGCATGCAACATCCAGAAGTGCGGGAAGTGCTCTGCATCTCTGGTCCCGCGCTCGTCTGTCTGTCAGTCGTCGTTCCAGTCGTCTCGCCGAGCGGTTGTGTCCGTGGAGTCCTCAGCCATGGTTGGAGCTGCCGTCAACACCATCTTCGACAGCCAACGGATCGGTCGCATACCACTCCGCCGCTTATCCTTCCGATCGTGCCCGTAGGTTCCCCATCTATCTCTCTTATCTTGTAGTCTCGTAATCTATTGTAATATTAGCATAAATCACCTTAATACTTAGTGTTCTGTTATGTAGCAATATATACACATCTTTAGCAGCACGGTCGTAAGGTCGTCAGATAGGGGAGAGGGCCTCACCAGGCTCGCGGCAGGCAACAGTCGTCAGAGCATTCCTTACGCGACGCATCCCCCTAGGACAGGGTGTTCGGGCCCTTCTAATACCCGTTCTGCCGTGTCCTCGGTGCTCCGCCACCGATGCGCTTCATCCACCACCACCTCGGGGCACCAGGTCGCGACACTCTGCGCGAAACGGGTTCACCCGAAGAAAACTTATCATCAGGGCAGCAACAACTAAGTGGGCCAATAATTTTCTCATACATTACTTTGTGGGCTTTAGAGAATCAAAATTGATTTTTTGTCTTGCGTCGATGATCGTTTAAGCTAAGCTGAGTGCACAAAATTAGAAGGCCTTTCCAACGATCCTTGCCTGAAATGCTTATCTTTCTGATGGTATGTCGAGGAATGCAGGTGAAATTCACTGACCCAGCCAGTCCTCCGCCGCAGGCGCGGCTTGACTCTTCTTATTTCGTTGTTTGTATTATGTGAAATGTACCCTGCCACTATCATACAGCAGCTTTGGCCACAACCCTATTTCAGTAGTCTGCAATGCAATAGGTGATTTTAGAGAAAAAGATAGATGGCTATTCAAGAGATTCCTACTCGTTACATGGATGCCTTCCCTTATTGTTATTTCGTGTAAAGAACTTTTCCAACAAGTGCACGTATGAGGGGAGTCTGGTGGTTCAAAGAAAGCCGCTACAAACATGAGCTTTAGCTTTTTGAGAAGGATAATCTCGTCAGAAAACTGAGTCTCTAAAATATGCTTGACAAACAGCCTTTTTGAGGTGTGAAGAGTATCAAGTCTGAGAAGAGAAGTCAAGTTTTTTGGCCACAGAGATTAGAGGCCACTTGCGTGATAATTAGCGGATCGGGCTTACCCTATTAATGTGCAGCGCATGCGGTTCACACCCTAAAGACCGTGTGACATTATTAATTTTTTTTTCGCGCATGTGCTACTTAATTTCTACACCATAATATGACTAGACACGGCGAGGTTCATCGAATGGTTGAATATGCTCCTTTTTAGCGAAGGTTTTCTAAGCCTACGAATTTCCCAATTGTGTTCATTCCTAGTTTTCCTTTATATTCTGACAATCTTGGTCATAAAAAAGAGTAGTAGAAGTAAGTACAGACCTACACATATAGCAAGATATATGTTTTTAGTGGAGCAACCGCGTCAAAAATAATTTTGAGGTTCACTACAGCAAAAGCAACTGAAACTTGCCTTTTCATTGCCAGAAAACGTCAATTCGATCGAACTTTTACAGTTGTTCCTTCTGATTTGACACATCGAATATCATTCGAAACATTTTGTTGCATCCGAGTTTTGTTAAAACTCAAAATTCACGGCATTCATGTGCAATAGGGGAAGGCTGAAAACGGTGAAAAACCAAAGTTTCAACTGGGAGGAGTAATGCATATCATTCGATAGCATTTTTCACGGGGAATCTAACGGGGCACATTTCAGGTCTGCGAGTTCATCTGGAAGATGCAAAAAATCTGATTTTCATTTTAGGGCATGACGGAGAGTGATGTTTGGTGAGGCGGCGGCGCTTGCAAAATCGCCGTGGTCCCACGCGGCGCAAAAGCGCGCGTGGAAATCTTTTTAGCATTCTTGAAAGCCTTGCACATATTGTAATCTTACGAATTTCAAAACGAACCGATATATGGAAGGTCATATGTGATGGAAGGACCCACCAGTAATAAAGCCGACAAATGTGCCCACATTGCACTCAATATTTCCACGCAGTGGCGCTTTTGTAGCCTACAATTTTAATTAGTTGTTGATATTACGTATTCCATAGAGTAACTGCTTTAAAAAAACGCAGAGTGGAGCTAGCAAGCCATCTGACTACTGTCGGCACAGCATTTGAATTCCTCTGATAGGCCTGCTAGCTCCATCACCTGTAGTCGAAGTCGAATAGCTACCGGAATATAGATAATATAGGACAGAATAGGCCGCAAATGCAAGGTTTTGAGAAAATGCTTCCTAATGCTTCTTAATTGGCAGAGCTTTACTATGAGCGTAGGGACAAACACGCAGCAATGTTCATCAGTAAATAGGCTAAGCAATGTAAATGTCCGGCGGTTCCTCTCTGAGACATGGTTGAGAATCTCACCAGTACGATCCACTCACAAATCCGTTCTCGTATCTTCCCATCTATGTAATTCAATGCTGCCTTTTTTGACTTCTCAAGTCACAGAATTGTTCACTGTCTTAACAGGCCTGCCGGCTTCGTCTGCTGTTCGTCTTTCGGACTAATTTTGCGGCTGCCGCTCTGAACGGTAAGTCTGTAAAGGTGGGGTGAGCGGCGCACACGCAAAAATGATGGCGTTCCGCCCTAGGCGCTGCATCAGTGAACATCAATATCTATCAAACAATGGAATGATTATCATTCCAATCCAGACAGGGGTAATCACCATGCGCTCACCACCTCCTCATGAAGAAGACTCTTTATGTTAGATCAGCACAATCTCTTAGCCACTTCACACTTATGACTGTAACAATATTCCGATATGACTAGGCGAACGCGTGCCTGACGAAGGTTCTAAGCACCGAAATATTGCAAATCATTTTGGAAAGCTTTCGAGATTAAGTGTTTTGAAGCTTTTTGAAATAAATTTTGGAGCCTCAAACTGTTCAACATTTGAATCCTTGTGAGGCTTCGGGACAGCACCTAACTATTAGGTTGTCTCATAAGTGATGTCGTTTTTTTTCAACCAAAAAATTTTCATCTAAATCATGAAACTTTTACATCGTTTATATACCATTCGAAAGAGAATTGTCTGCTCTACAAAATGCTGTGTTCCGCTTCCACCTCTGTTCCAGAGGTTTTCAAATTTTAGGCCTGCGAAATGGGAGGTCCAGCCGACAAAAATTGACCAAACCGACAACTAGCTCTAACTTTATTTTCCCTGGGGAGAAATCAATCAATGATATACTTACTCATGACCTCTTCTGAACATTCCACTCTTAGGTTGCCGTTTTTCTTTTCGAATTGGCTGACCGATAAGCCATAGCAATTTTCAAATTAAAATTGTTCCTCGTAAACGCATTGTTTCATATCGAGTGGTGTTCCTTTTGTGAGCACTTCTTCTGCTCTATTCGCTCATTTGTTTTGTTTTTATGTTTGTTGGGAATTAGTTCGAATTTTAGGTGTTTAGGATAAGGTGCTTTACCACGAAAGTGACCGCATTTCTTTGAAAAAAATTATCCCTGAGAAGATGAGAAAATCAACCAGGCGTACATTCCTAACTTAGTCATGACTTGTTCTTCAAATTCTACTAGTTTTTCAATGTCTCGGCTATAAAAAAATTTCGACCTAGATCTCAGGTAATGGTGCTCGACCGTCGAGTTCTGGTTGAAAAACCAGGTCTGGAAATGGAACGACGCGACTTGTTGGAAAACCTAATAGTGTAATGTTAGAAGAGGTCATGCATAAGTAGAGGGTACATCATTGATTGATTTCTCCCAAGGGAAGATAAAGTTAGAGATAGTTGTCGGTTTGGTCAATTTTTGTCGGCTGGACCTCCCATTTCGCAGGCCTAAAATTTGAAAACCTGGAACAAAGGTGGAAGTGGAACATAGCATTTTGTAGAGCAGACAATTCTCTTTCGAATGGTATATAACACGATGTAAAAGCATGGAGGATTTAGATGAAAATTTTTTGGTTGAAAAAAAGCGACACTGTTTATGAGACAACCTAATAAAATACTCCGATAACTATTGGAGCTAAAACCTACCGTGTAAAGCGCACGCGTTCACCTGTTCAAGGAGCGAGCCACGTCCTTTGTAAGTTGGCTTTTCAGCCAAGAGTACGGAGGATTTCCTTACGAGCCTCCTTCGTGACTGATAGCCCAAACACCAAGCCACTGGATCAAGCAGATGTGCTAAAAACAAGCTCTCTTTCTCAAACCGCATGCACCGGTAGTCCACTGCACTCAGGGTTTACTTTCTTATTAGATATATTGCCGTTTGTAACTCTGAATTCGAGGATGTTTATATCGACTCAAACACAATGTTTTCGCTCGTAATTAAACCACTGCACTCTGCTCTTCCTTGACAACACTTGGGTTCCTAAGCAATCTGTTCTCTGAAAGTTCTCGAGTTCGGCGAATCCGCTTCCCGTCATGTTGTTTCGTAGAATTCCTCTTCAAAGCTGGTTGAAAAGTGATAGTGAATACGTGTATGATCCAGGCAATAACGCTTTCGCAGTATAGCTGGATCACATCATCACTTAACAACAAAGATAAATATGTTCTGAGAGGATGTCTGGCTCGTAGAGATACTCCCCGCAATTTGAAGTCTTCTGGTCCGCTACAGGCTTCACGACATATGCGACACCGTTAGCATATGGCAAGTCAGCTGATTGCATGAGGGTAGGAATGGTCCATTGAACAGTTGTCTGGCTTGCGATATCGGCTACACGGGATATGGTTCGCAGGAGAATTACAGCCTTGTAGAGATACTCAGCAGTAACTTGTGAATTCGGGGTTCTCAAGGTTGTCATCTGCGTTTATGGGTTTGGGCTCAATGGAAAATGTCACTGGCGGAGCGGACGCGTTCGCGTGTTGGTGACGTCACAACGGCGGCAAGGCAGCGAGCAAGGGCCGCTTTTCCACCATTACTTCAATACGTTAAGTACTCCGAGCATCTATCGTGCTCTTACTTCACTGTGTGATAAGTAGAAGTAAGTTGGAATCGAACACGAAAACGCTCAGCTCAACGAAGTACTCCTAAAGGTTTCCACATGAAAGCCTCAATTCCTCTACATTTTCAAGAAATTTCAATTCCTAAGGCAAGGATGGTACCTGAACATAACACAATCAATTTCTCTTGCGGCACAACTGATTGAACAAGTTGGTATAGTGCCAGAAGCCCAGCTTCATTCAAGCAAAGTGGCAGCGGCGCTGGCCACTGCTCGCCCTTCCTTCGAATCTGTCGCAGCTGCGACGTCATTTCGACACGCGAATGCGTCCGCGTCGCCGGTGACCTATTCTCTCTCCCCATGGGTTGAGAAGCACTCGAATGATTTTCAAATTTAAGAGATCCAGGCGCCACTTGGTTAACCGAGCTTAGTAGCTTGGAAATGTTGAATTCGAGACAACAGTCTCCGTATCAGGACATAATCTCGAGATCGCGGCGCGGAAACCCTGGAAGCGTTTTAGATTTGAGCGATGACAAAGATCAGTACAGAAGAGGAGTGTTTGAAGAATCCTTTCCTGGAAAATTGTGATTCTATCCCACCCATAAATCACTGGCTGTCTACGACATTCGACTCATTGCACTGAAACCTCGCTTTTCTGGTTTACCTATTCTCTCGGTCGGTTTGTCTCTGTTCTCCAAAATCACATGTTTCAATCTGCTTCTCTCGATGCATCGCCGAATGTGTGGCCGCCTCAAGGTGCGCTCATTTCTATGTCTCTCCCTTGGCCCTCTACCTACCTTCAGCTGTCCATAGAGTGGGGTACTTGTAAAATTGTTTTTCCTTCAAAACTGAATCTTTGTGCGCGAAATTTGGGAGAAAGTGCAAGAATATTCCTTGAATTCCAGGACTCCTTGAAACCAATACCCGTGAACTCGTGCCCTTCTTTGAACTCCGCGGGTTTTGATCCACATGAGGGCGAGGTCGAGAATGTGGAGGTGGTAGTGTTATTGTTGAAGCACAAGCTAAGCTTTTTGGGGGCTGTCGCTCTCTCACGGCAGCAGTGATCGAGATAGACCTGGTAGCATTTCTTTATCCATTCATATCGTTAAGTGATTTAATGAGACATGACAATGATGAGACTTCAACATTGAGGAGGCGTTTAAGAAGGCAAGTCACATTTGGTGTCGAGTATTTCAATCTCTAGCGAAGACGAAGAATCTGGAACGGTTGCCCAGTCAAGTTAAACTAAAAGTTCAGAGGCTTAGTTTACGTTATGTAGCATAGCTCAGTAACCTAGCTAGTTTTTTTTTGTAGAGTTGGTTCTGCCCTCCGCCATACATCGGTGCAAAGAGTCCACCATTATTTTTTATCAGAATTTGTTATTACTGTAAATGGGCTTTTAATTGGTAAAATGTTTTTTTTATATTTTCTAAATTCTAAAGTGGCTTTTTATTATACGTTGTTTTTAATTACATGATCATTCGACCATTTTATAGTGGGACTTGTTGAAGGCATGGGTCAAGGTATCTGGATGTTTCGAATGTTGCCACGTGTACCGTTCTGATATGATAGCTTCGCCTGCACTCAAAGAGTCTCGCACGCCGCAAACCGCATAACAGGCAGAACAACCTTTCCCGCTGGAGTTTTTATAACCCTGATCGTTATTGACCCAGTCACCGAGGCTCACAAATTGTTGCGATTAAGCTATTCAACATCGCACGTCACAATTCCAATGTAAGGTCACTTTTTTGGATGAAGGAAAGTAGAAAAAAGGGCCTACGGCTCCACGGAGCCGCTATTTTTGCGACACCCTATTATTGCCTTTTGCTTGCTCCTTGAAAACTGAAACCAGAAATAAATTACGCCAGATTTAGCAGTCATTATCTCAAAAGTATAAGCACAATTGATTATATCAAATCTTCCAGCTACTTTTTGCCAACTATCGATATCCAACAACCATCCTACCCTCACCACCCTTCGAGGCTATTGCCATCCCTACCAAGTCGGAACGGTCGTGCTAATTTCTAGTCCTTTAGAAGATGTAGCAGTCCGACCAAGGTAATAGAACTAATGCATAGG